GCCCGCCTCGGCCTCCCAGAGTGCTAGGATTACAGGCGTGAGCCACCACGCCCTGCCAATCATTTCTTTTTGCATATTTACAGTCAAGATCTATGTCTCAAAGTATTTCTTGTCCAGGAGCACACAGCTAGAGTAGAAACCTCATGGTATATAGGAAAAAATTATAACCAGAAGTCTAGTGCTTTTGCTTTGACATTTCTTTTCTGTGGCTTCCCATCACCGGTAGGATAAAGTCTAGACTTCTTGGGATGGCTTACAAGCTTTTCCTGAGACAAAGGTGCTGACCTTTGTCTCTTCCCTTATCTCCCACCATAGCCCCCTAAGCACCCTCTCCTCCAGCCCGGAAGACCATACCCGCCCTGCAGCCCCTCCCCCGCAGTGTGCTTTTGTTTAGGTTGTTTGCCTGCAGTTTCCCTAGCGCCTCCCCCCAGCCCCAGAAGTCCCCCTCATCCACCCCTCATCCCTCCTTCATCCATCCCAGGCCAGTTAGACTCCGTCTCCTCTGTGAGCCCTACTCTTTCTTAGGCTGAGATAACATGCTCCCTCCTCTGTTCTCCCATAGTGTCTGTTTGAGCATTTATAGTATTATAATTATTATATGTATTAAATAATATTTTTCCCCACTACAGAATGAGCTTCTGTTATGTAGCATGCTCTAGCTTACGTAGCACTTTTGCATATATCATCTCATTTGATCCCACAATATGAGGTAGACTTTTAAATTTTTGAGGAACAGAGAAAGAAGCCGTGGCTCAGAAAGACAGAATTACTTTCCCAGAGTCACACAGCTAGTGAGCAGCATGGCTGGGTTTTAACTTGGAGGACAGTTTTTTTTCTATTGCATCCCACCCTCTTTGACACACCTCAAAGAACAGTTTGAAAGAGGGAATTTCCTTAAAAACTTTCTTTGGAAAATTCATTAAATCTTAGCCTTATCCTTTTTAATCCATAGCAAACTTTTACATCCAGAGTATGAATGGGCATCTTCAAGTAACATTGGTGATCTCGGGTTCATAAGTAGCTCGAAGTAATTAGCAAGTTACTGAGAAGTGAGTGGTTTCTTATATAGCGTGTTTTGAATTATACAAG